TCCACCAGATGCTCTGCTGGGGAAGGAGGGACAATCTCCTCCTGTACCAGTCAGATCTGATTTGACGGTACACTCATACAAAAATAATAAAATAAAAATTAAAAAAAGGGAATGTTATCTTTGTTTTACAGTTTTATAAGGATTAAGTGAAATAATAAAAATAAATATTTAATACTGTCTCATAATAGTAAAAATCTAGTACTTAGTAGTAGGTCTTGGGATTTTGTTATGCACATGAAATAATATCTAAGAATATACTTAAATGATCTGATAAAATAAGGGGAGCTCTGGCGGTCTAGTAGTAAAAAGCTGCACTGTAATCCTGAAGGCACATGGTTTGCATCCACCACCTCCTTCTTAGGAGGACAATGAACAGTCTTCCTGCCATTTGATTAACTGCCTCTGAAAACCCATCAGAGGGTCAGCTATGGGTCATTTCCAGCTCTTTGGTACACAACAACAAAACATAAAGTGCCTCATGCTACCAACTATAAGGTAGTTGTAAGTACTCACTAAATATTCATTCTCTTAATATTATTTCCTATTGTTTTTTACAAGATACAGATTTTCAGAATGTTTATCCATTTCTAAGATATGTTATTCTTTGTAACATTTCTTGCCATTCTTCCCCTGCCTTCTCAAAATTGGTGAAACTATCTTCATATACTTAAGTGTTTTCATAATACATGAATACATGGTTTATGTGGGAATTGTGTTTAGTGGACTCTTGTCCACCAGTCTGTGATATTTTCTCGCTCCTAAATATGGTGGTTCATTAATGTATTATTGTTGTTATGTGCCATCAAATTGGAACTGATTGATAGCTGATCCTCCAGTGTGCTTTCAGACGCACTAAATCATGTGGGAGGCAGTACCCATCTTCTCCTTTGTAGCAGCTGGTAGATTCAAACTGAGTACCTTGGAGTTGGCAGTTCAGCTCTTTATCCATTCACTATGCCACCAGATCTCCCTCATTAATGAATTAGGCCTTTGTGAAAGAAGAGGTTTCCCCAGCTCCAGACCTGGTTCCAGTTTCAGTTATATTTCAGAAAGCTAGTGATTTCTGTAGGAACACCACTAACCTCTTTAAAACCAAATGGATGTGATGTTAGTGAATACTTGTGTAGTAGAGTCACACAGTCCTGTATTTGAATCGTGGCTCTGCCATTTACATGTTCCATGTGTGATCTTTACTAAGGTCTCTTTTCAAAACTTCTACTATTATATTACTGTTACCACGTTGACTGCTTTTACCTGTTCTGAGAGTCTCTCTAAAACCTTTCCTGCTACAATTTACTATTCCCGCCCAACCAAAATGGCACAACTTGTATGAACTCCAGTCCCTTAGAGATTCATAAGATGAAAGTATAAAGATCATAAAATGATATGTCCATTTGCCTTTTTTTTCAACATTATAGACCCTCTTAAGGACCATAACTAACTTTGAATTTAGTTTCTTTAAGGGAATATAAATATACAAATGAAATCTCATTCTTTTTTCTTTATTGAAAAAATAAAAATTCATTCTTAATCCCTCTTTTTTTTCTTTTGAATGTAATTAAAAGGCAGTAAGGCTGGCTGGCCTTGGTACAGAGAGCACAGATGCAATTCTGCAGAAAACATGTCTTTGGCAGATGAGATTCTTCCAGTGAAGGTTCTGTTTATTGCTACCATAAATATTCCATTGTCAAAACATGACTAGCTGTTTATTAACAGCACTGACAGGAAGATTCCTATTAATGGCAGCATTGTTATTGCCTATAGACTCTGTCACTTTTAACTTCGCAATTTTAGGAGAATTGTATTTGGTAATTACTTAAGATATTTCCTAGTTTATTGATCCCCACTCCTGTTTAATGGAATGAAATTTGAGTGGCAGTTCTTCTGCACGGTGATTGACACTGAGAAGAATCTTCAGATCTGCATCTTTTGAAGACAGGGAAGGAGTCATCAGCCCTGATCCCGTTGCCCCCTTCAGTCTGCTTAGAAATCCACAGTGCTCTGAGTACCAGCTGAGAGCAGTACACTGAGGAAGCGTGTGGATGCAGGCCCTGCCTTTAAAAAGTTATAGCCCAGGATGGAAGTGAGCCAAATACACATGTTTAATAGGCAACTCAGATGGTGACTTTGGAGTGTAGGGGACCTAACTCTAAATCATACTAATTGCTTGTGTTTTGACATGTTATTTAATTTTTCACTTTGTTTCTCATTTGAAAAAAGAGAAGTGACAACCACATATAGAATTGGTAAGATGAACCTTGCAGGTAGTAGATAGTCCATAAATATTAAATCTCTATATCATCCTACCTTCCTTCAATGAAAACTTTTTCATCATCTTACCCTTACAGTAGTCCTCAGAGATAGCTGATGCGCAGAATTCTTCCTAGTTTGTTGAAAATGGAATTTCAGACTCAGAGGAACTAAGTGCATGACTCAGACATGCCAGGCTTTCCAATGGTATGGTCAAGCCAGAAGCCCAGGTTTTAAAACTCATGTTACAGTGTGCCTTCCACTCTGTCCCACCTGAGCCACATGCAGCATTATATATTTGGAGATGTTTTTGAGACCACCGTTCTTTGGAATGTGAATAGATTCATATATGTATGCCTTGCAAGGAAGGCATAAATACTATGTAGAGGATGGCCTAGATTTAAAAAAAAAAAAAGACACATGTCTAGAGCAGAGGAAGAAAAGAGCACATTTAAAACCTTTATTGATGGCAGCCTTTACCAGAAGCACTGTGATTATGTTCACAATTTGCCAGTTCATTCTGAACTAGACTGATGGTTATATGGTACAATTGAAAGAACATGGGTGTGGTTGTTTGTTTTTTGGGTTTTGGTTTGGTTTTTTTGGTTTTTTTTTTTTTAGTCATGCTATAGGAAGGAGGAGTGGCATCCACTTCCGTAATAGTTTGCCTCCAGAAATCTTACGAACCTCGAGAGAGGATGAAAGGCACCCAAGCGTTGAGGACTCTTCTTCATAGGGTCGCTATGAGTTGCCTGCGACTTGATGGCACTTAACAACAACAACAACATAGGTCCCTAGCTGTGTAATCCTGAGAAAGCAACTCAATTTCTCCAGACCTCTAGTTCCTTATCTATGAAATAGAAATAACAGCATTTTTAATATGTAGTTGCAAAGATTAGGTAATTCAGCTTGTGTAACATGCCATGCACAATTAAGAAATATTTGCTCCCCTTAAACTTATCACAACACTTGGTAACATGCCACCTGTGATATACTCCTAATTATATTCCTGTTTTCTCCATCTTAAGCAAAAATTCCTTTAATTTCTATTAACTAAGCTTACATGATTTGAATGATTTTCTTTCTCAATAGCCTATTATGGGTCTTTTATAATTATTTTATTATGAAGTAACTCTTAGTAAAAAAAGAAATTCTCACATTACATCAAAATGTAAAAAGAATCAGTTTTAATTTTCCACTATCAAGACTTTAATACTAAGAGCCTTAATTATAAAATTCATTCTTCCTTTCCATAACTATAATATGTATAAGATATGAAAAGTAATTGCACTGCTTAATAATAGATTAACAGAATAAAAGATTATTTCTATAGGTATCTCCTTAACCCCCACAGTCAATTCTAGCTCATGGTAACCTTCACTGGGTTTCCAAGTACAGAAGAATCGATGCCTTTGAGTTGTGGTGTTAGAGAAGAGTACTATCCTATGGACTGCCAAAAGAACAAACAGATATCTTGCAGCCATAGTGCTCCTTGGAGGCAAAGATGGCAAAACCTCGTCTTTCATACTTTAGACATGTAGCTAGGAGAGGCTCTTAGAAAAGAATCTCACACTTGGAAACATGGAGCATCAGTGAAGGAGAGGAAGACTTCCAGTAAGATAGAGTGACAACTGTGACTTCAGCAGTGGGCTCTGGTGTGTTAGAGATGATGATGGCATAGGATAGGGCAGAGTTCAGATCGACTGACCCTATGACTTGTACTCAATTCAATAACATCTAACAACAAGAACAACAAATCTTTATGGAAGGAGACAGCCTCTCTTTCTCCTACTGAGAAGCTGGTGGATTTGAACTGCCAGTTTTTCATTTAGCAGCCCATTATCTTATGCAGTGTGTGACACCAAGGGTCTTTCTATAGGTATAAGAATTCAGAAATACTATTTATTCTTACTAAGCATAAGTCAATACCCTTACTACTCCTATCCCCCAAACCCCACCAATGAGTCAGTTACAAATCATTATCGCTCAATTGGGTTTCCAAGGCTTTAAGTCTTTACAGCAGGAGACTGCCAGTTTTTCCCTTACAGAGCCCTTGGTGCCCTTATATTGTTGTGCACCAGAAAGTCAGAACTGATAAATAGCTGACCTTCCATCCAGTGTTCAGAGGCAGTTAATTCCACAGGAGGATATTGTCCATCTTGTTCCCACAGAGCAACTGGTGGATCCAAACCATGTATCTTTGCATTGACATCACAATTCCTTACCACTAAGCCACCCAGAGGTCTCTTCTTGTTTACTATAAGCTGTATTTTCAGTTGCTTCCTATGCATCTGAATATTGGGCAATGAATAAGAAATACTAAGCAAGAATTAATGCTTTTGACTTGTGATGTTGGCACAGATTATTGAATATATTATAAACTGCTGAAAGAACAAATTTACCTTAGAGGAAGTTCAGTCATACTGCTCCTGAGATCAAGGATGGTCAGACTTCATCTCACATAATGATACTTATATGTTACTAAGAAGGATCGGTCCCTAGAAAAGGAAGTCATTCTTGGAAAAGTAAAGGATTAGCAAAGAAGAGCTTTATAATGGGTTTAAGCACAGCGGAGATTATAAGCATGGTCCAAGATGCAGCAGGACTTCATTCTGTTGTACATAAAGTTGGTATTAGAGCTGCCTCAGAAAACCTTAGCAATGGCAACAACACAGTTTAGTATGATCTTGTGAGTTATTATATATGAATAGGACAATTTTATTTTTCTCAGATTCCTTAACTTCTAATACCTATATCCTTCTAAAAAAACTTGTGAAGATAGATGCTGTGAAATTCATGCTAAAAAACCACACTGTAAGTCTTATTCCAGTAATTAATTCCTCAAGTTTTCCTGAGAGCCAAGTCACTAATAACTTTGAATGTTCCTTTGCTTTCATTAGAGTGAACACTTCCCGTTTCTTGGTATCAGTGAATGTTACAGTCTCAGTGACTTCAGATGCAGAACCACCTTTTATACAGCCCTCACTCGCCTTCTGATGGTAGATCTAGGTAAGGTTAAGACTGAATTTAATTAATAAGAGATAAACAATGTTTGTGTGTATGAATGAAGAACTAGAATACTAATAACTACAACAATAAGTACAACTAGAATACTAGTAATACAACATGTGACTTCTTGAAATTTGCTATTTTGAATGGTTTTTTTACACTTTACTAAGATTTAAACATATATTTAGGGATTAATACTGATAATACTATCCCTAGAGAATATAACATTCATTATATTTTTGCTATCAAAAGAAAAATATATGTATTTATGGTAATCTATTTTATTTCAGTTTAGCAGTCACACTGGTTATTTACCTAGGAATTCCTATTAGGGGTGGGGAGAGAATAGGACATCAAAAATGACTAAAACTAAAAAATGTTAAATATTTATCTTTGAGTAGTGCTCTCTTCCAACCAGAGTGCCACAACTTGTATAAGCCCTAGTCCCAGCCTAAGATTCCAGTCTTAAAGAAGAATTAGGTGACAGTATGTAAATCATAGAGATGATATGCCCATTTACCCTTGTGATTGCTATTAACCCATGAACCACATGGGTGTGAAGTCCTCAAGTCCACTTAAACCGAGATTCCCCGCCCCCCTCCAGGTTTCAATTGCAGTAATCTCAAGTGTTTGGAAATATCTGCCTAAAACACTGTGTGATGTTATCGTCAGCTGAACTGTTTGGTACATTTCTTCAGTGAATTATAGAAAGTAACTATACAGATTTTTCAACTGCAGGGAAATGTTCAAGGGTCAGCTGTAGTTGAAATTGTTGTTTAATGTGTTACTTTTGTAAAAGGAAGATTATTTCATCTTTAACTTTTTCATTGAGAAGGTGAAGTTCACCATAAGTATTTGAGGTACACAGACCTTCAGAATGGGCATGTCAGCCCTCTGGTGACCACGTCACTCTGGGTTCCCATTCCCTGCTCCTGCTGCCCGAGTTTGAATACTGCAACCTAAATTAAATCACTTAGACCACGTAAGAGGGTATAATCAATGGCAGTATTATCCTTAGAGAATATAATACTAATAGTACCTTCCCCCTCCCTTATCTTACAATGTATTGATTGATCCATCAACTTAAATATGACTTTTTTAGGGCATAATCATACAAAAGGGAAAAAAAACATAAATAACTTTATTTTATCTTGCCCATAAAATGCGCTGGACTTTGGGCTGGAAAAGTGATGTACCCCCACACTGCTACACATCTATATTATTTGCATGCAGTTCAACAGGATAAATTACCAGAAAGAGGCAGCTAAATGTTGGGGGGCGGGGCACAAGCAACTAGACTGATTAAGGTGCTTAGTGGGATTGATTTCTAAAGAAAGATTAAAAGAACCATGTATGTATAACTTGGCTAAGTGACAACCAGGGCTGGAGGCAAAGAGAACTGTCTATAAATATTTGAAGAGTGTAAACCAGGCATGCAAAACCCAGTCATCTGCCACCCTAGGCAAGTGGGGGATGTGCTGAGTGACAGTTTTGCATACTGCACACAGGGCTGTCTCCTGAAGAGGAGCAATCCCAGATGCTTTGTCATTGTCCTCCACAGTCATTTAGGGAGTGCACTGTGCTGAGTGCTGAGGGCAGGACAGAGAGAAATCAGGCACACTCTCCCCTGCCCTCAGTGAGAGTGCCTTCTGCTTTCCTAGCTGTTCAAGCACTAAAGAAGATCTTGAAAACCCTGTTTAAACATCATACCTACTTCAGGTGCTAACAGTACTCTTTTAATGACGTTGTCAGAGTAAAAGAAGGAAGGTGCAGAGTAGAAGGATGGGTAAAGTTAGAAGAAATACCTGGGGGAGGGGGGAGGGGTTTGTGCGGGGAGAAGGGTGCAACAGTGAATGAATGGAATTCCAAAATCTCTGTAGATGTTCACTGAAATGAAAAATAAACAAACTAAATTTAAAAAAAGAAGAAGAAGAAATACCTGAAGAAGATTTTCTAAATACAGCTTTCTGTCACATACATCCTCGGGGTCTGCACATAGAATGGGTAAAGGTTTCTTTTTTCTATACATATAACCATGTCAGACACAGGAGTCTCCATTCGAAACCACATTTGTTTTTATTTAATATTACTTAATGTAAACTGTGAACCTTGACTGAAGTAAACATATAATCTGAACAAGTTAATGGATTATTATTAGATTTCCTAGGATTAAATCCATGGAAATATCTAATTTATAACAATAGAAAAAATAAATATATATTTCAAAGTAAAAAAGGAAAAGTAACTATCTGTTACATTTCAAGTACTTTGTTAGACACCTGGAAAGTAAAAGGAGATAGACTCTGTGGAAGTGTATGGTATGTGATAGAGGCCCAGTCTATGTAAATTGAATCTATATGCAGATAAAATTTAAAACCATAGCAACTACCCTCATGGAACTTTTACATTGTTTAAAAAGAAACTCTTACTTAATTTGTAATTTTCTTTTTAAAACAATAATGTGAAAATTATAAGCATCGAATGCCAATTTTTATTCATTTATTGTTGTACATTTTCTTCCCTTCCCCCTCCTCTAGTCCACTTTGCGATGCAACTCTTGTTCCAGATTGTTGTCATACATATAATCCCTAATCGTACACTTCTTTTGGACAGTTTTCCCCTTTATTTGTTCTACTGCAGTGTTTAGCCACTCTTTTCCTATCCTCTCCCCAATCCTCCATGTCAGTCATATTTTATAACAGCAGTGTTATGCAGTATCTATCCTTTTGTGACTGAAATACTTCACTAAATGCTGATTTATTACATGCATTACCTGAACATTTTCCCCTCATTAAGAATCAGAGTTGCCTTTGGTGAACTACTTCAGGACATAGACTTTGTCTTTTCATGTTTTTTTAGCACCAGGTTTAGTGTCTTGACATTATAGATGCTTAATAAATACTTGTTGAATGAGTGACAGGGAAATATTTTGTATCCAAAATACCACCATTATGACTCATTGAATCAGCTCTGCTTACCAGATTCTCTCTGGAAGTAGCTTGATCATTGACCCCTCAAAGACAAAACAAGTCAAGTGGCTGATTATTTTCACACGTTATTAGCCAAATTTGTGCCAGATTAATCACTTGGTGCTCTCTGTTCTAAGGCTTGTTACTTTATAAAAAATCATTTGTTGAGTGTTACTGAACACATTCCTATTATTTGAAGCCTTGCCTCACAGACTAGGTTGACAGGAAATATGCTGTCAGAATTGCTGTATATTTTACTTTATACCTTCCTATTGTATGTTCACTGTCATGGAAACAAGAAGGAAAGAGATGGTATTATTGTCAAGAGAAGCACAGATCTATATAGTAAATAAAAGAAATAAAACTGTTATTTAATAAGAAAGCTTTCTCAACTAAAAGCAAAGAAAATTCAGAGAGGGACTTATATCACTGATTTTGGAAGTGGATGTTTTAAGAATCAAATAGTAACTTATCTACAACGAATTGCATATGATTGGCTTGAAACAGAGTATAATTCAGTTCTGAAAAATAAATTTCATATGCTCTATGGATAATCTATGCATATTGAAGTTATTAGAAAAAGAAATTGATGTCACATTAATTAGTATTTACTTTGAGATGCATTTTGTTATCTATTCAGGAATTTCTGCTTCATAGGAGTTTATGTAGATGCTTTGTGCCACAGCTTGTATTTCAGATGAAAATGGGTGGGTTTTGACAATAAGGTGTACCATTTTATTAAAATGATCCTTGGGTAAAGTAAATAAAATGTTCACTTCTATGAAGAATAAACTCAAAAGTATTTCATTAACAGCATATTTTCCTTTTGCAAAATATATAAGAAACTTTTTTTGAGGTTAATTTTTCCTTTTTTAAGAAATTTTATTCTGATTTATTTACAAAATTTGAATACATTGTTTTTCACAAAGAAACATTTATTTTCTTTTTTTTTAACTTTCAATTCTGTCTTTATTTTTTTTTAAGTTTTGGTACATTTATAAACATGTTTCATTCATGTACATTGTGTTTTGTATAGTTAATCAGTATTCTCAATAAAATAACCTAGTCTCATCAAACCCCAACTGCACTTTATTTAATTCCTTCACCACCACCATAATCCATCCACTAATCTCTGCTGATTTTGTGCTTGACCCCTTTTATTCCACTCCCATTCTCCTTTTACCCCTCTCCTTCTGAAGTTACAACTATCCTGTTCCTATTTGCTTATTGTGATGGCCATATTGTCCTTTTCATCAATTCCTCTGAAGATGATAGTTCCTTTCAATTCCTCTGAAGATGATAGTTCCTTTTCCTCATTCTTTGCAGTATTCATTATCTATACATTCTCTTTCTGCTCTTTGCATCCTCTTTTTTTTTAAAAAAAGTTTTAAAATAATTTTAATGAACATTTACAGAGAATTTGGATTTCCATTCATTCATTGCTGCACTTCTCTACCCACCCAGGCCTCTCCCCCTGCCCCCTAGTTCACTCCTCTCTTTCAAAAGTAAAAGAAAGACTCCCTCCCTGGTACACAATCCCCCCCGCACCCCTCCCACCGCCCCAAGTACATTCCACTATGCAACCTTAATTGTGGACTCTTGTGATAACTTTAATACTCATACATCACTTTTAAATTATTCTCTCCCTCA